ATTCCCACGTGTACCGAGAGCAGTCTGTCTGAACTCATACTGGAGTTGAGGAGTTAACCTCTTAAGGATCGGACCCTTTTTTTCAATTTTCGTCCTAAAATGACATACCCAAATCTAACTGCCTGTAGCTCAGGACCTGAAGCAAGGATATGCATATTCTTGATATCATTTGAAAGGAAACACTTTGAAGTTTGTGGAAATGTGAAATTAATGTAGGAGTATATAAAACATTAGATCTGGTTAAAGATAATACAAAAAAAAAAAATTTTTTTTCTGCATCACCTTTAAAATGCAAGAGAAAGGCCAGACAGTGATGTAGGATTCTAGCTGTAATGTAGATGTAGTCCACCAGATGGCAGCAGTGTGTGTAAAAAGTTTCAGACTGATCCAGTGAAGAATTACATCACTACACAATATTTTGTATCAAGTCTGCCAGGAGTTTTCCCAAATGTGCCAGATTGGTTTTCAAGTACATAACTATAGAGAACATGCAAAAATGGTAATACAACATTTAAGTTTGCACACTCCCAGGAATGTCATAAATGGATAGCCAGCCAGCCAGCCAGCCAGTCCATGTCTAGACAAGCAACACTGTTCTGTCCTGAGTGGATAGCCAGCCAGCCTATCATATCAGGTCTGTGTACCAAATGGCATCCTATTCTCTACATAGTGCACTACTGTTGACCAGGACCCATAGTGCTCTGTATAGGGAATAGGGTGCCATGTTGGACCCAGACCTACAGTCTGCATGCTGCTGGAGTGAAGTGTCTGTCTGTCTGTCTGTCTGTCTGTCTGTCTGTCTGTCTGTCTGTCTGAGGTGTCGGAGGCTCTGGGCTGTTTGTGTTCTCTCCCAGGGGTGCTATGGTAGCTAGGTGAAAATGAATCAGTACGGTGATTATGTAATCTTCTCTTCCCCCCTATTATGTTAATTAGTTCAGTCCCTCTCCTCAGTCCTGGTTTGTAGTCCCTCTCCTCAGTCCTGGTTTGTAGTCCCTCTCCTCAGTCCTGGTTTGTAGTTCCTCTCCTCAGTCCTGGTTTGTAGGCCAAACCGTTCGGACGCTACAGACGATTTAGTGACAAGACCGATTTTTCGGGACGTCTCCTGGTCTGACAAACACCGCTCTAGATCTGCCACCTTTCACCGCAGACGCAGAACGTGCGACATCGGGGGTTGCGGCGGATTGAGACGCATCCCAATGCAAAATGGGGATTTTTTTGTTATTATGCTAATTTGACTCTAGGGGGTTAAAAGCGGGAATAAAAACAGATTAGATAACCAGCAGTAGGCCATGCAGGCCAAAGACTCTCTCTCCCTCTGCAGCTGACTATATTATGGGATAGAATAGAGAGGGTACTTCATGCAGCTGGACCTTTTGTTCCAGGTCTCTCTGAAGTAAATCCCCCCCCCCCCCCCCCTACCTCTCCTTGGGAGAAACCAGATGATTATTCTCTTGATCTGATGGGTCATTTTGCAGAGAGGATGTGGGCTAACACTCTCCTACGATTGTACTTGATTAATCTCAATGATTAGTTTAAAAAATATAATTCAATTAGGAACTCTTTGTTGAGATGTTATGATTAGGGGGCCTGAGTTTTTCCCTGACCTAGTGACCTATGTGTCTTAGTGAGGTCACATGGTTCAGTAGAACGTCTGGGCCTTAGTACAGGTCTTAGTGAGGTCACATGGTTCAGTAGAACGTCTGGGCCTTAGTACAGGTCTTAGTGAGGTCACATGGTTCAGGAAAAACTCCTCCAGTAATTATGCTGTCCGTTTCCATCTTCTGCTGTGGCCCTACAACTCCCCCAGGTATTCCTAACTTGTTCATAACCTGTTCATAACCTGTTCATACCATATCTATCCTAACCTATCCGAACCTATTCACAACCATATCTATTCTAACCCAACTCCTACCTAACCTATTCACACCAAATATCTATCCTACACCAACTCCACCTACCCTATTCACACCATATCTATCCTACACCAACTCCTACCTAACGCTATTCACACATATCTATCCTACACCAACTCCCTACCTAACCTATTCACAGCCATATCTATTCTACACCACCCTCCCTAACCTATTCACAACCATATATATCCTACACCACTCCCTACCCTAACTATTCACACCATATCTATCCTACACCAACCCCTACCTAACCTGTAAATCACAACCATATCATTCACACCAACCCCTACCAACCTAGTCACACCAATCATCTACACCAACCCCTGACCTAACCTATTCACACCATATCTATCCTACACCAACTCCCTACCTAACCTATTCACACCATATCTATTCTACACCAACTCCCTACCTAACCTATTCACACCATATCTATTCTACACCAACTCCCTACCTAACCTAGTCACACCATATCTATCCTACACCAACTCCCTACCTAACCTATTCACACCATATCTATCCTACACCAACTCCCTCAGGTGTGCTTAAGAACAGCCTGAAGGAAGCCTGTAGTTCTCTGTGTCTCCAGGAGCCTGAGCGGTGCTCTGAAGTGCTCTGAGCGGTGCTCTGAAGTGCTCTGAGCGGTGCTCTGAAGTGCTCTGAGCGGTGCTCTGAAGTGCTCTGAAGTGCTCTGAGCGGTGCTGTGAAGTGCTCTGAGCGGTGCTGTGAAGTGCTCTGAGCGGTGCTGTGTAAGTGCTCTGAGCGGTGCTGTGAAGTGCTCTGAGCGGTGCTCTCAGGTGTAGCCGCTCCCCTCTCCTCCATTTTGGATCATAATGAGGTCATTTGTCCCTCAGCTTCATTATTACTGCAGCAGATCAGAGAAGAGCAGGAACACACAGAGATAATTACACACTAGGGGTTATGGTCTCTCTCTACCTCTACCTCTCTCTCTCTCTTTCTCTCTCTCTTTCTCTCTCTCACTCTCTCTCTCTCTCTCTCTCTCTCTCTCTCTCTCTCTCTCTCTCTCTCTCTCTCTCTCTCTCTCTCTCTCTCTCTCTCTCTCTCTCTCTCTAATCACCAGGGGTTATGGTCTCTCTTCACGCTACTGGGATCATTAGTTCACTGATGCTTCTAGTCTGTCTCTTCTCTGATGCACGCAACGCTACAGCCTTCTTCCATATTAGAGAGGAGAAGACAAGATGTGGTCTGTGTCCCAGATGGCACCATATTCCCAACATAGCGCACTACTTTTGACCAGGGCTCATGTCAAAAGTAGTGCACTACATAGGAAATGGGATGTCTGCTGCATGCCATAGATTTCTCTGAGACAGAGGCCACGTCCCAAACGGCACTCTATTCCCTACATAGTGCACTACTTTTGACTCGGGGCCCTAATATCACAGGAGGTTGGTGGCACCTTAATTAGGGAGGACGGGCTCGTGGTAATGGCTGGAGCAGAGTGAGTGGAATGGTATCAAATACATCAAACACATGGTTCCCAGTGAAATACTGGAGGTGTAGGACTCCTCTCATTAGGAACAGGTTACGTAACAATGCAATAACTCACACATACCACACACTAGAATAAAATAACTCTCAGATTCCACACACTAGAATGTAATAACTCTCAGATTCCACACACTAGAATGTAATAACTCACAGATTCCACACACTAGAATGTAATAACTCACAGATTCCACACACTAGAATGTAATAACTCACAGATTCCACACACTAGAACGTAATAACTCTCAGATTCCACACACTAGAATGTAATAACTCACAGATTCCACACACTAGAACGTAATAACTCACAGATTCCACACACTAGGATGTAATAACTCACAGATTCCACACACTGGAATGTCTCTGGGACTATAGGGAATCACTGTGGTTTGTTTTTGGTGTATATACGCACGTCTTGATTCCCTAAGTGTCAGTTATACACCAACAACACAGAATCATCAAAGAACAGATGACTCTGGTTATGCTGTAATAGGTCTTGGGAAGTAACTTCAAGATAAACCATCTGGCATGGTGAAAATACAGTCACAGTGAATGAAGACAAAACATACAAATATAGAAATCCTTGTGAATGAATATCCCGCCGCCAAAGCAGTTCCGTGTATGTGCTTTAATGGCAATGTTGCACGTTGATCCACTTCCATTTTGAGATGCTGTCTACACTCTACATGCAGCCAGCCAGTCAACGCATTACTTTCCCCTATGCATACCAGCCGATGCATCCATGTGCTTGAGTGAGCGTGTTGCTATGCTGTGGTAGGGTAGGCCTAGCCGGACTTGGAAGCCAACAGGTAACCCAGAGCTGTACTGATGCCTCCAGGCTCCAGCATCTCTTCTCTCTGGCTAGAAACAGTCCATAAACGCCTGGCTGTATCTCCCCTCCTCAGAGCTGATACCTGGGGCACTGAAAGAAAGACAACATGGTGAATCATAAGCTACGTTCCAAAATGCCACCCTATTCCCTATATAGTGCACTACTTTTTGACCAGAGCCCCATATCTGATCATCCACTCTTCGTGCAATGAGGGAATGACTGACGTTCATTAAAGACACAGACCAGATCTAGGTTGGGAGGGAGGGAGATACGGCAGCCTCCCAACCAGCCATATGTCATCATAGCTCCGTTAGGTTGCTAATGTCTGTAGAATGAGGTGGATGGGATGGGCAGTGTGAGCAGAAGGCTGAACGGCACAGGATGTGTTTATATTGTAGTCCAACTGCCTAGGAGTCATCAGACGTCTCACGAGAGGGAGGGCTGTGGGCCGTGGTGGGCAGGCCTGGATTGAAATGGATGTTTGATTTGTTTTGAAGGACACAGTGAGTGGCGCAGGGGACCTTTCATTCACACAGCAAGACATGTCTGTTTCTCTGTTGAGGGAATTATTCATCTAGCCTGGTCCCCAGATCTGTTTGTGCTGTCTTGCCAATTCCTACTGTATTTTTCTACTGTCATGGTGACAAAGATCATATAGGAGTTGGCAAGACAGCACAAACAGATCTGGAACCAGGCGAGTAATCTGCAGTGTCCCACAAGTGCCCACTGGGATGGCACTGTAAGTCTGTTTAGCCCTTATGGAGTTCTTGACCAGGCCCTGACACCTCTGCTGGTGGCAAACTCTCCTTGCTTGGTAACCCTCCCTCTTCCTCCCAGCAGGTCTCCTTGCTTGGTAACCCTCCCTCTTCCTCCCAGCAGCAGGTCTCCTTGCTTGGTAACCCTCCCTCTTCCTCCCAGCAGGTCTCCTTGCTTGGTAACCCTCCCTCTTCCTCCCAGCAGGACTCCTTGCTTGGTAACCCTCCCTCTTCCTCCCAGCAGGTCTCCTTGCTTGGTAACCCTCCCTCTTCCTCCCAGCAGGACTCCTTGCTTGGTAACCCATACCTCTTCCTCCCAGCAGGTCTCCTTGCTTGGTAACCCCTCCCTCTTCCTCCCCACAGGTCTCCTTGCTTGGTAACCCATACCTCTTCCTCCCCACAGGTCTCCTTGCTTGGTAACCCTCCCTCTTCCTCCCAGCAGGTCTCCTTGCTTGGTAACCCACCCCTCTTCCTCCCAGCAGGACTCCTTGCTTGGTAACCATCCCTCTTCCTCCCAGCAGGACTCCTTGCTTGGTAACCCTCCCTCTTCCTCCCCACAGGTCTCCTTGCTTGGTAACCCTCCCTCTCCCTCCCAGCAGGACTCCTTGCTTGGTAACCCTCCCTCTTCCTCCCAGCAGGTCTCCTTGCTTGGTAACCCTCCCTCTTCCTCCCAGCAGTTCTCCTTGCTTGGTAACCCTCCCTCTCCCTCCCAGCAGGACTCCTTGCTTCGTAACCCTCCCTCTTCCTTCCAGCAGGACTCCTTGCTTGGTAACCCACCCCTCTTCCTTCCCACAGGTCATGTTGCTTGGTAATCCTTCCCTCTTTCTCCCCACAGGTGTCGTTGCTTGGTAACCCATCCCTCTTTCTCCCCACAGGTCTCGTTGCTTGGTAACCCATATCTACAACCACGCCATAGGCATTGTGAGGTAACTTGAAAAGCATTGGGTGTTTGAAGAAGAGGCTGGGGAGCGTGAGAGATCAAATATCCTTCCTTATTGATCACAGCTCCTTAAGTTTCCTGAGTGGAATGAACCAACTGTCATCAAAATCATCCTATAACAACTGCTCCTATTCCTATAGTAATAAAGTCATATACTACTAATACCTAGACTAGGTCATGTAATGACTACACAGATAGGAGATTGACTGGGTGTCTGGATGAGTGAAGGAAGTTGCATTGATTCACAACTGCCAGGCAAATGATCATCAGAGCATGCAAATACCTCAACCCGTTGGCCGTCCAAACCTCTTGCAGTCCAGTGAGTCTGCTGCTCCTGCTTGGCTTTACACTAGTCAGTACTGGGTCTGTCAACACTAGTCAGTACTGGGTCTGTCAACACTAGTCAGTACTGGGTCTGTCAACACTAGTCAGTACTGGGTCTGTCAACACTGGCGTTCAATTCCATCCAAGCCATGGAACAGATATAGATTCCGAAGTGCTGTGAGTTGCACACACACACACAGTCTTGCGCAGCTAACCTTGTGGGGACATACAATTCAGTCCCATTCAAAATCCTATTTTCCCTAAACCTAAACCTAACCCTAACCTGTACCCTTACCCTACCCTAACCCTAACCTTAACCCTAACCCTAAACCTAACCCTAGCTCCTAACGCTAACCCTAAAACTAACCCTATCTCCTAACCCTAACCCTAAACCTAATTCTAACCATAACACTGATTCTAACCTTAATCCTAAACCCCCTAGAAATAGCATTTGACCTTGTAGGAACCAACTAAATGTCCCCAGTTGGTAAACATTTTCTTGGTTTACTATTCTTGTGGGGACTTCTTGTCCCCACAAGTATAGTTAAACACGTCCACACACACACACACACACACACACACACAAACACACACACACACACACACACACACACACACACACACACACAAACACACAGCTCACGAGGCCCAGCCACGGCCTTAACAATGCACCACGGTCCTCATTATGCGTACATACTGCTTCAGTTCCCAGCATGAACAGCAGTACTTCAGCCATATGCCTGCATAAATGGCCATTACATTTCACTTGGTTTCAAACGCAATGTTTTGTAATATTACAGCCAATAGTGAATGCACACTCCCACTGTCTTGTGAACACTGGTGTGTCAAACGCATGCCGCTTCTCTTTTTATTTCCTGGTTGCTTCAGGCTCTCAGGCTCTCTGCTGTTGATTTGCATGATGCAAATGAGCAAAATGCCAGATATGGGTCTCTACTCTGAATCAGAGGGACAACATGCCAGTGTGTATGGAAGGATCTAATTGCTTTTATTTTTACTTTCAGAGGCCTCACACGTGTGCGTGTGTGTGTGTGTGTGTGTGTGTGTGTGTGTGTGTGTGTGTGTGTGTGTGTGTGTGTGTGTGTGTGTGTGTGTGTGTGTGTGTGTGTGTGTGTGTGTGTGTGTGTGTGTATGTGTGTGTGTGTGTGTGTGTGTTTAGTTCTGAATCCTGACTCCTGTATGGTCAGGGCTGAGACTGGGAGTAGACGTTATAGTAGCTAAGCCCTCTAGTTGTCAGCACATTGGTCCATTCCACCAAGCTTCAATCCACAGTTCACTTCACTTGGGGAATATTGCAGTAGTTTGCAGCCAGCCAGACATACTCCATGCCGTATTTTCAAGGTAGGCTACAAAAAAAATATAAATAAAACAGCATTAATGCAGTACTAATAAAAATGCATCAATACAGATTTGTAAATGCTTTGCACTTAAATTGCACTCTAGCTCAAATCGAATCAGAGTGTATTTGTCACGTGCACAGGAAACAGCGGGAGTGAACAGTACAGTGAAACGCTTTCTTGTGAGCTCTGCCTTAACAATGCAATTACACTAAATCACCAAAAAGAAATGCACACCTGAATAAAAACGTACAGGAGAATATTAGACAGGTCAGTATCAGTAACCAACCAATGCAAGGGATAGCAGTAGGCCTGTGAGAATGAACAACACAACGGTTTGGTAAAAGTTGATGAACTGAACATGTGTACAAATACAATGTCATGAATCTGTAACAGGTTAAACACAGGTTTTACCTCTCTGCAGTCTGAAATACCTATAACTAAAAACGCTAATGAGAGAGTCTGCGTTCTAAAAGCTCATTGTTCAAGTACTGGACAATAGGGGATTTAAGTTGTTGTTGTCTGAAGAGAATGCATGTTGAAGTCCATTGTGTGTTTCCTGGAGGCCTCATTATGGGCTTGTAGGACATTGTTATTAGACATATACTGACTGGTTCAGTGGGGCACCAAAGTACAGTAGAGTATTATATGTGGATAGGGCTATATGGACTTTTCTGATGAAGTGCAAACTGATATTTAATTTCAGAATTTGTAAAAATTTGGTTAGGGTTTGCGGGGTCAAGTGTTTGGTTAAAGGTTAGGGTTAAAGGTAAAGTTCAGTTTTAGATTTGGGATAGTCGCACACGTCAGATTAGTCCTTATAGCCCTTCCTATCACATGTTGTACTAATTAATGGGCTGGTTGGGTTTGGGTTAAGTGATCACCAAGTGACAGATGCAGGCTGTCTGTCTGTTCCTGCTGGAGCATAGGCTGGTTGGGCATCGCCAGTTTACCAACCGGACCAACCACATCTCACCGTCATTAGTGAGGGAGAGAACGAGAGCGAGACAGAGAGAGGGAGAGGGAGAGGGAGAGAGAGAGAGAGAGAGAGAGAGAGAGAGGGTGGATGAGAGCAAGGACGATAGATAAGGAGAAGACTACACCCAAACTTGTTGACCGACTATGTAATTACTGTGTATGTGAGAGAAAATGGTGCCGCTCCTGTTGCAACTAACTTTCGAATGTTGCTGGTGTTTGAAGAAACACTGTGAGCTTTTTTATTTATTATTATTTCTTGTTCTGCAGTAGCCTAGTGCGGGATCATTTTTTGCATCTATCGGTTCGTGTTTTTTTGAGGTTGCATTTCCAAGCGATGGTGGCAGCAGAAGCAACATTTCGGCTGGTGTTTGTGGAAGCCTTTCCAGCTTTGCAGAGTTGCCGGTTGAGAATGCAAGACTGGATGTAGCTGATTGGAGTAGCGAAATTGGTGATCACACAGCGGAGTGGGAGGAGGGGAGATTCTGAAGTGGGTTTTTCTGTGTGTGGCTCTCCAGCGGCCATGTTATCCAAGAAACCGTGCGCTGCCGTCTACCCAACTGGTAAGGAACAACAATATGGATCCCAACGGGCTGAACAATACGGTTAAACTCACTTGATTGACCGTGTATCGCCGGCGGAATATTGTTGATGGATATATTTTTTGCGCTTTGTCAGTTCCTTTGTAACAAGTGTATTACACGTTTACGCCTAGTCTGCTTCGGGTTTTCCCCTGGTCTGATGGCGAGGGGGTAGCCTTTCCTAAAATAACATATCCGTGCTCTATGTTTTGAGCAGTTAATGGCGATACAGTCAGTTTTTGTTTTGTTCTCTAAAGCATGAAGTGGGCTGTTTGAAAAACCAAGTCAAATGCTGGTGTGTTATTTATCCCCATATGACAGTATGTGTGTCAGATAGATCACAAGCGTTGGCTATGTTTTTTTTCCCCGACCTCTGTAGGCTACACGACCATGGGGCGCAAAAGGATCTACAACCAGGGTCGCCTACATTCTGGCGATCATTAATTATGGAATTAAGCTACCTGTTTGCCGAAGCCATTGTCGCAAGAAGGATTTACACCTAAAGCGACCCCCCCCCCCCAATGCCTGCTTAAAAGACTATCCTTAAAAGGGATTATGGCAGAGTCCATAGCCTACTTTATAGCCTACTAACACTGAGGTAGCCTGTTGTAGCCTATGTGGGTAAATAGGCCTATTCAGAGTAATCTCATTTCGTGTGTCATTTTGTACGATCTTCAGGCAAAGGGGGTGAGATCTGCCAGCTACAGTCTTCCCCCGGAATCGGAGTCGGGGGTCCCCGGGCCGGAGCAGCGACAGACCCGCCATCGCCCGTCACACTACCACCCCTCAGGAATATCAACTCGCTCACGGTACGTAGCCTAACGGAGCCCTGTTTGCCTGTGGGTTTACTGTGGACTAAATATCTGGTTCTTATTATAATAATAATAGTGTGTACCTGTTGACTATTGCAATGGATGTTGTAGTTTAATTTAAATTGTGCATCGCTTACCTATAGGTAATAGAGACCGTGGTTAGGCTCCAACTACTGGGAGCTGTTGTTGGTCGTTACATGGTTGTTACAATGTAGCGCCGTGGTTCGTTTAGATCCAGCTACGTGCAGTAATGTAACAAGTTGTCCTGCCACACTGTCAATTGAGGTGTACATTTTTGGGCATAGCGCGTGTAGGGTACAGCAGGCCACACATAGATAGCGAGCTATATCATTTCGTCCTAGATAACGCTTACGGTAGCCTATGTGTGCATATTTTGTTGTTTACGACAGTGGAAGGGTAAAGGGTGTTCGCTCTTTACGGGCGCTATAACTTTTATGACGATCGTAACAGACTGCATGGGCTACATTACAAGCTTGGGGCTGTAGTTAGCCTACTCGGGAATAAGGCATTGGTTTTAGGTGTTGCAAATTACAAACCCAGGCACCATATTTTGGAATCGTTTTATTTTTTGTGTGTGTGTGTATGCCTACAGGGTTGTTGAGTTGATACTCAGTGTGGGGGTGTTAGAATGTTGTCAGACTGATATAAAATGTGAGGTCACACGGTAAGAAGCCATGGCCCAGTGTATTGCGTGCTGTTGTTGTGTGGGGGGATGGGTAGGCAACGAGTGCTTCCTCCCTGCTCGGCTTGGAACAGCACACGGAGGGGCAGATCTGAAGCACTCCCAAACAGAACCTTGACAGTGAATATGAGTTTGCGTGCTGTAGAGAAGAAGAAAAAAAAAGAGACCGTTTTATTTCTTGTCACGATACTCAAGTTGTCAAAGATGATCAAGTAGCAGAGGCTATATGTCTTGGAGGTTGAAACACCTCTT